GCTCTTCTGCATAGATGAGCAGCAGTAGCTGCTGCTACTCTTCTTCATAGATGAGCAGCAGTAGCTGCTGCTGCTCTTCTTCATAGATGAGCAGCAATAAATTATATTTTGCAGGTCTTAAATATCCCAATCCTGGCACACACTCATACCTTTCGACCGAAAGAAATCACAACCAAATATTTATTTTATGTTCTGTGGTGATCGATTTTTATGATATCCTATTTGCTTGCATAAACACCCGAACATAACATTGTGCAAGGATTTACAATGTTATTTATTTTTATTTCCCTCAAAAGAAAAACAAAACCGAAAACCAGAAACCAAAAGCAATTCAAAATCTAAATATGACCGACCCTTCCTTCAAACACACACACACACACTCTAATCATGCTTCAGAAAAACGATAACAGTAGCAGTAGTTTTAGATACAAATCCAAAAATCCGCATTTTTATTGTCCATTTCAGAAAAGCGCAGCACTCAGAGCGTGTGAGAGTTTCGAGTCGAGTTAAAAAAATGTTAGAGATTTTCTGTTGCTTTATCATGGGTCAGTAGTAGTAGTAGTAGCAGTAAAAATAATGAAGATAAATAAAGTTCTTCCCATTCAACTACGGAGTAGCGTGGTAATGTTGTAACCTCGTCGTATCGCTTGCCATCGTTTTTTGTATTGGATTTCTATGGTAATAACTATAAAATTTATGATTTTCATTACGATTCCAAGGTGTTCATCCGTTTTTACCACACAGCGAAAGGATCAGAGCAGAGAGGGAGAGATAGTTGTGGAAAATCCCCAATAAACATACACATGTGTGTGTTGATGGTGTGTGTGTGTATTTTGTGGAGATTTATTGGCGATAAGAAATTACTGAATAAATACATATAAAATACACAATATATAAATGTTTGTATATATGTTTCTTCGAGAGAGGAAGGAAAATAAATATTTGGAATAAATATATATCCCCCAAATGGGGTCATAAATTGTCCAAGAAATATCCAAAGGAAAACAAACAAATAACCAGAAGGGCATGATAAAACTGGCCACAAGGTGAAAGTAAGATAGAGAGGGTTGGAGAGAGGTGTTTTGTTGGACATTTTCGAAAAATGGGGAACATTTAAAGACAGTATCTATTTTTAAAGGAAAAAATGGGATAAATAAAGCTGTTACATTAACATGGTCTGAAGATAAAAAATAGTGACCTTTAAATATGTTAACCCATCTTTATTTTGTTAGATTTTCTCCTAAAGTCGATATGGATTTTTAATGCAGAAATACTTTTCATGTAAATTCGTATTCTTTCAGTTAAAAATTTTACTCCAAGTAAGTGCTCTTTTATAATAGATTTTAGGTGATGGGTCTTCCAAATTTTCATAAACTATTTTCTGATTCTTATATAACGATTTTGAAAATAATAGATTTATTTAAGAAAAATATTAAAATTTTCTGGGCATTTCCTTAAAAATAAATTTTGCATTATTCCAAAAATTGCTCCTTTTATTCAAAGCAAAAAAAAAGACAACTAAGAGAACCTATTTTTTAATGGGAAAAATTAGCAAATAATAAGAACACTTGATAGAAAAAAATATAAAAAATGGAATGAATATATAGAACAATTTTATAAATTAAGCGTAGCTATATTTTTTATTGTGTTCTAAGTGATATTTAGGTATAATTCAGATTAGATTTTAGATTTTTAATTTATTTTATATATATATTATATATATATATATATATATATATATATATATATATATATAATATATATATATATAATATATATATATATATATTATATATATATATATATATATATATATATATATATATATATATATATATATATATATATATATAATATATATATATATATATATATATAATATATATATATATATATATATATATATATATATATATATATATATATATATATATATATATATATATCTATTGTTGCCAACAAAGGTGAAATGTAAAGAAAAAAATAATGGAATATTATTATTATCAAGAAATATTTTCTCTCAAGATGAAATATTTCTTGAGTAAATAATTCGTCAAGGGTTGATGAGGTCACAGTTGTGATGTTTAGGAAATAACCAAAATCGATGATATGTGATGTTATAAATATTTACGAGGTCCAGGATGGGCTATATATGTTCTCCGCAAGATAGGACTGAAATTCTCACAACGTAAAATTTGTGTATAAATGAGATCAGGGATGAAAATGGAGATAACAACAAGAACTTAATACGAGAATATATATGTTCACCAATTCTCGTATATATTCTCGTATTAAGTTCTTGTGGTATCTCCCCTATTAAAAATCATTTGCGAAAGATTTGAGGGCATATTTTTCAGGGGTTATATTTTTTAATATTCAAGGGAATTTGTTATATATTTTTTTTGAATTATTGATAAATCACAGTATTTATTTGACAATTGGACTTCAAGGAAATATGTAAACGTTGATTTACAAAAAAAAAATCAAAAAATCAAATCAAAATATAGCCAAAATGTCCTTGTAAATCAACGTTTACATATTTCCTTGAAGTCTAATATATATATATATATTAGACTTCAAGGAAATACGTAAACTTTGATTTACAAAAAAAAATCAAGGACATATATATATATATATAAATTTTAGCTTTCTTGCGAAAAATTGTGCATTTTAAATTGGCAATTTGTCCAAAAAAAATTGTACGTTCTTTTTGGAAAAAACGTACGCATTTTAGGAAAAAACTAAACTTATTGAGGATATCCGAAGAAAATTCGTGAATTTTTAAAGAATCATTTTACAAGGTATTTCGGAACTTGAATCATTATTAGAATATTTTCAGCTGTCAAACAAACTTATGAATTTTAAAATATATTTTTTACAAGGACTACCAGGAAAAAAATCAAGAATCTGGCAGGACATCGAGACCAATTAGCGTGTATACTTTTTTACAAGTTTTCACAGGACAGAGATTATGAATAAAAAAAAATAAAAGAACGTCCCGACTAAAAATCTTTAATTTTTGTAAAAAAAAAATCCTTACAGGGACAAAAGCCATAAAATTTTTAGAAGTTCATGATTTTTTTTTTTCTTCAAGGGGGTCCTAACCAAAAAAAGACTTTTAAGGATGACCTTATATCCCGACCAAAAGTTGTGGATTTCTAAAATTTTCTGGGTACAAATTTAGGAATATTTTTCAAGTTTGCCTCGTAACAAATTGTGAATAATCTTTGGGCAAAAATCAGAGATTTTTAAGGTAAACTGGATTTTTAGGAACATTTTTAAAATTTCTGTACCAAAAAATGCTGGATTTTTCAACGACCACTAAAAAATTATCAAATTAAATTTTAGTAGATAAATTTAATTTAAGTTTTTTTTTATTGTTTAGAACTATTTTAGCCTTTACCCACCGATTATTTCCACTAACAAAAATTTAAGGGGCCATGTTATTTACGGAAAATATTCAAAAATCCATTTTAAAAAATCCTTCATAAAATTTGATTTTTCCCCCCGAAACTTGGTATTTCCTGCCTTTCTCCATGGCAAATATCAAATAGAAATCGCTTCAAATTTGGATATAGCTCCCATATATATCTTCGTCCGATTTGTCTTTTATTTTGCATCAATATATATTCTTTTTTTTTTTTTTTGTTTTGTTTTTTTTTTTTTTTTTTTGGTAAAACATCCTTTGAAGTCAAAATTAGGAGACTAAGAATAGCAGTCCTCGGGTCTATATTTAGAGAAAAATATTCCAAAGGTTATTATTCTCTTTAAATAAAAACATCTTAACCATTTTACCAAAAATATCATTTTTTGTTGTTATATAAAAAAATGGATTTCTTAAAAATTTTGGATCAGAAATTCAAAATAAAGAAATTTCTGATCAACAATGTTTAAAAATATATATTTTATATGCTTAGGTGAAATCAATGTTTAATGATTGTTTTCATTTATCCAAATGGCTCATTTTTTTAATAATAGAAGCTCCAGGCCAACAACTTTTATTCTAATTATATAAAAATTTTAAATGAAAACTTTTAAAAGGAAGAAAAAATTGTGTAAAGAAAATTAATTTTCAAATCATAATTTTATAGAATAACTGTCCAGCATTGGAGACGATTTTTAAATTTTAAAAAAATTTTGAAGGCTAATATATTTGAAGGCTAATGAATGCGGAAAAAATTTAAATCCTTTAGAATATGTATTTTATATATTCACAAAATGTATCTCCTTAGACCTTAACAAAATTTTTTATAAAAAAATTTCTCCAATAGTTTGGTTTTTTTTCCAAGAGCATTTTTCATACTTCTGAATTCCTTATCCACAATTTGAAAGAATATATTTTTTTATAAAAAAAGCAGGATACAAAAATATTCTACGAAGTCAGGAGAACCATATGTAAATAAATAAAATATGTAAATAAAACAATAAATATATTTATAAAAATATGGTACGAATTACAAAACTGGAAGACCCTTAAAGGTACTGGAGCGGAGCATATATTTCAGGAGAAATTCTTTAAAAGTTCTAAGTCTTTTAATAAAAAATATTCAGATCCGTTATTATTGTAAGGTAAAATCAATTTTTAAAAGGACATTTTTTCAATTATAAAACATTTTTTGAATCTATTTTTATTGAAAAAAATGCTCAGCCCTTTATAATTAAATTATATTATAGTATATCTGATCAGATTCCGAAATTCACCTCTTTTTATAGAAATAAACAAATTAGACACAAACGAAGAAATTTTCAAATGATTCTTTAAAGTAGATTTTTTAATCCCAGGGACATTTTTTTTTTTTCGTAATGGATTAGCTTTTAGTGAAATGTCTTTATAATGAACACTATGCCTCTTTAAAAAATGCCCTTAATAGCCTTTCCGTGTGTTCCAATCTTTTATAAGGACCTTATTAAAACCCTTTTCTATTAATCCTTTTTAACCCGAAATATCACTTCTAAGACCTATTCACTTTCTTTATAAAATAGACTTCATTCAAACTTACCTTTTGTGCCTTGCATGTCGTGGTGATCGGCTGGACTTCATGTTGTGGATGACGTTGATCGTTGATGCACTCAGCACAGGCTGGTATCTTACAGGTGAGACAATACATTGATAGGACCTCCTCATGTTCGCCGCACACTGACTCGCGTTGTTGGGCCGCTCCCTTTGGTTTGACCAAATTGTGTTTGGCCAATGGGCCGCGAGCCGGATGACATAGCTCCCGGCAGGCATCGCAATAACGTATTTCACACTGTTCACACACCAACGAAGCGACCTTGGGATCTGTTTCACACATTTGACAACGCAACGCCTCACGGGCACAGAAACGATCTACAATGGATTCCATGGCCCGGTAGGGTGGTAAATTGCGAACACCACCCTCGTCAAAGAAGACAATTTTACGGCAAAGTGGACAGGTGAGACTGAAGGCAGCACCTGGTGGAGCTGAGGCAGCACCCTGTAGAAGATTGGTAATGTGTCCAGTACCGGCATACGACACGGGTCGTGAGGTGTTCGAACAGCAGACAACACCCGAATCGGCTTCACTGAGGATGCTGACTTTATCGGACTGATCTTGATCTGAGGTTACGGATTCGGTGCCGGTGGCTGAACTGGCCGTACTGGCAGCTGAACTGTTGGACGAGTGTCGGGTCGTCGAGGGATGTGTGTGATTGTGGGGATGTGAATGATGTCCTCCACCGGCAGCCAGACCAGATGGATGGGGATGTACTGTGGCGGCAACACTGTGTAGGGTACCACCATTCAGGGACGATGAACCACCACCGCCTCCCGTAACCGAGGCCAAAATGGCACCAGGTGTATAGGGTGTCTGTATATCCAAAGCACAGCCCAGGCACAGGGCATGGAAGCAGGGCAACAAAACAGGATTAGCAAAAAGCTGTTTGCATGTGGGACAACGTAGTTCGTCCTCCATAATAAGATTTTGTGGTTACTTGGGGGGTTGTCGGGATATATATGGGTGGGGGATTCCTTGATGTTCGTCGATGATATTGAATATTCAAAACTCCAATCCAACTGCTTATTTTTCTTTATTTATTTCGAGTTATTTAAACATTTTCCTTGAGGAAATTATTTTTTTTATTTTTATGGCACTTTTTTCAATATTCACTCAAAATAATTGACATTCAAAATTATTTTCAATTTTTTGATTATTAAAATGTAAAGTGGATATATTTTCCAATTGGAGCTTATTTTCAAAAAATTAGTTTTGAAATTTTTCTTGAAGGGGATTTCCGCTTTTAATCAGCCGGTAGGTAGCTTCTGTTTTTTTTTTTTTTTTTCTCACAATTTATCACTCATTTCACTGATAAGATAGTCGTCGTCAGCTGTAATTCTCATTTACTTCAGCATAATCAAACACCAATATAACTGTTGTGGTATTATTTCAATATTTTACTTAGATATTTTTTTTTTCAATATTTTATTCACTACGTAGGTATTTCCGATACTTTTACTACACTGCATCCATATGTTTTATTTTTTTGCACATTAACTCCTTATCTTATCGATTTCAAAACATTCCAATTTCGATTAGGTTAATTTGCACTTGCTTCAATATTTTATTTTCAATTTCCGTTTTAGATTTTCTTTTCATTCAAAATTTTCAGATTTTCACAAATTTTTTGCACACTTGAATATCTTATGTTATTTGTTATAGCTCCTCAATGAACTTCATCACTGTAAACGAACCGTTGTTGTGACTCTTCTTATTCCCGTTGACAACGCGCATAGACTCCGCTCGCTCAACCACTTTCCACGAATTCTCAAGCTAAACTAAATGTTCGTTGCGACATCCATTGTTCGGCAATGTCTAAAGCGGGCTGTTTTGTTGTCTCTGACATCGAACATGTTGCGTGAAGTGGTTGTTGGTTGCAGTGTGTTTTATCGATGATTGTTGAACGGGAATCCAGCCATACAGCCAAGGAAAAATGTTGGGTGAAATCTGGAAAAAAGAAAAGAATGACGAAATTTATTTTTTGAAAATTATAAAAGTAAATCATATTTTATTTATAAACATAAAAATGTTGAAACACTATTTTTATATTCTTCACCATTCGTTGGAGAGCCCTAAATATCGTTAATAAAAGAGTAAAGTAATTGACTGACTGAGTGACTAAACGATTCATCAATGACCAGATGAAACGGCTGAAGCTAGAATCTTGAATTTTCGGATGTCGGTTACAATTGGTCTGAAGAGGTCAGATAAGGCTGGGTTTTTTTTTTTTTTTTTTTTTGAAATTCGTGCTAGAATGGTACGGATAATATTAAAAGGGACTAAATGTGATAACTTTTGTATTTGAGGAAGCAGTAGAGAAAGCTAGAACTCTTTAATTTGGAATGAGGGTAACTGATACATGGAACAAAAGGTTTTTGGGAAATACCCACTGTAAGTGTACGAAAAGTAAAAGTATCAAAGTAAAGTACCAAAATGTACTACATTTGGTAACATTTCGTATCCTGTGAACGGTTAGAGCTAAAAACTTGAAATTGGAGGTGGTAGTTTTGGAAGTGTACTTAATTTAGTACAATTTGAATTTGGAGGAACGGATGGAGCTGGAATTCTGAAATTGTAAATAAGCATTACGGACGGAGTGTAGGATCGGGATATGGAGGATGTTTTCGAAAATTGTATTGATGTATACAAAAAGTACTAAATTTGGTACAATTACCATTTGGGTGAACCTATAGAGCTAAAAATTTGAAAATTGGTATGAAAATCAAGGGGGGAAAGAAAGTTTGATATGTTTGATATATGGTTTTATATATGTGCACTAAGTGTGCGAATTGTACTTAAATGTACTACATTTGGTAACATTTCGTATCCTGTGAACGATTAGAGCTAAAAACTTGAAATTTGGAATGGGAATTAAGGTTGAGGAGTAGAATCGATGTTAGAAGGTGGTCACTTTGGAATTGTGTACTCATGTATACGAAAAGTATTAAACTGCACTAAATTTAGTACAATTTGAATTTGAAGGAACGGATTGAGCTGGAATCCTGAAATTTGAAATTAACATTACTAGCGGAGTGTAGGATTGGGATATGGTGGATGTACTCATGTGTACGAAAAGTACACACCGGTACTAAATTTAGTACAATTTCAATTTGGAGGAACGTTTGGAGCTGGAATCCAGAAACTGAAATTAACATTACTGGCGGAGTTTAGGCTTGGGATATGGAGAAAGTTTTAGAAATTCTTACTTATGTGCACGAAAAGTACTAAATGGTACTGAAATTGGTACAATTTCGGGTGAACCGATAGAGCTGGAATTCCGAAATTCAGAAATAAGATTACTATTGAATTCTAGGACTGAGACATGTAGTAGTTTAGGAAAAATTTAGAAATGAGGTTACTGTGCGGGTTTCATACATATGTGTACTAAATAGTACTATATTTGGGACCATTTAAATTCTGGGAGTACCAATAGATTGATAGATTCCTGAAATTTGGAAAATAGAGTTCAATTGTACTGTATGATGTAGGTAGTTTTGGAAATTCGTACCTACCTATGTGTACCAAATGGAACTAAATTTGGTATAATTTCGATTTTTATGAACCAATAGGACTGGTATCCTGAACTTTGGAAATAAGTTTAATGTTGGAGTGTAGAATTTGAGACAGTTTTGGAAATTTTTCCTTATGTGCACGAAAAGTACTAAATGACATTAAATGTTGGTACAATATGGATTTGGAGGAACGGATGAAACTGGAATGCTGAAATTTGAAATTAAGATTACTGGCGTAGAGTAGGATTGAGATATGGAGGTATAAGCCGATATAGCTATAATCCTGAAGATTACTGTTGGAGTGTAAGATTGGGGTACAAAGAAAGTTTTGAAAATTCGTACTTATGTAGTACACATAAGTACTCTATATGGTACACTGTGTGTAAGGGCGAACCGAATTCTGATTTTTTGAATTGGTATTACTGTGGGAATGTAACATTGGGGGCTGTAGGAAGATTTCGAAATTCGTACTTTTTGCGTACTAAATTGTAATAGTTTTTTTACAATTTGGGTTGGGCGAACCCATAGAGGTGAAATATAAAATTGGAAAAGAAGATTTTTATTGCATTATACTTATGTGTACTAAATTTGGTACAACTTCAATTTGTGGTGAACCAATTCTGAAGTTTGGAAATCAAATTTCTATGGGACTGTATAATTGAGGTATAGAGGCATTTTTGGAAATTGCGGTTGTAGGATTGGGTTATGTAGGAAGTTTCGTACTTGTCTGTAATAAATTTGGTACAATTGGGATTTGCGTGAACCGAAGGAGAAGAAATCCTAAAATTCGATGTAGATGTCACTATTGCTGTCTGCGAATAAGACACGGAAGTGGTTTTGGAAATGTGTACTGTAATTGTACGAAAAGTGCTAAATTTGGTATTGAGTGCATGTATAAAGCTGGAATATCGAAATTTGATATTAAGTTCTCTGTTGGTTGGTTTTGGAAAACTACACGTGTGTAGGATGAAGAGATGTAGATTGTTTTGGATATGCGTAGTTAATGTTACTTAATTTGTTGTTGGGTGAAGGGATAGATCTGAAATTCTGAAATTTGATATTGAGGTCACCGATTGTTTCTATTGTTAACATAGCTTTAAAATATTGTTGTACAGAAAAAGTTGAATGGGTCCATTGAGCAGTGGTCTTACTAAATTCCTCTTCGGTAAACATCAGATTGAAAGAATTTGAAGAGCTTACAGAAAAAAAGAAAATATATGAATGATGTATAAAACCTTGAAAGTATGGAAATTAAATACCATGTCAGAGATTTTGATTAAAATTTTTTGTCAAACTGAACAAATTGCGAACGTTAAGTACTAAAATTGTCTAACACGAACTGTCGCAACTAATCTAAAATTTTAAAGTGGACTTTTCGCTGAAGAAATTGCCCGCACTTGCTGGTAATCCTAAAAATGTCAATATAGTCTAAATTCGTATAAACTTCTCAAAAGGTGTCTTAAATACTGGCAACTCTGTCTAATTGCAGTTTTCAAAATATTGCCATAGTTCCTTACCGAGGGGTAAGGATATTTTTAAAACTGATAAGTTTTGATAGGTTTTTTTTTTCATTTCTTAAAAGTGTCCTTTTGACGATTTTTAACTCAGAACTAGTCTTGATTTACAAAAAGCCAGACGGTAAAATTTTCATCATATAAAATATATTTTTGGGAGAGAGGTTCTTCGAATAACTTTTATAGCTCTTGAAAAATGTGTATCGTATTGTCGAACTTTTAAATGCCAAATCAAGCATAAGAACTGATATCTTAGTAATTCAGAGCGAGAGAGAGAGAGCTATTTCAGCCATAAAGAAATCTTGAAATAATAACAAAAATGAATTGCATTTCTTGAAAATTAGTCAAATCCTTCATACTTTAGCTTTAATGCTACTATTTTTATATTCCATGAAATTAATATTTTTAAGAGGACAAAATATTTGTTTTAGTTCCCTTACATTCGTCCACAATGCGGGATGTTAAATTCAAATAAATATTTTTATTACCAAGGAGTCCACTGTGTTTTCCCTTACATAAAAGTACATGACTTCTCCCCATTGTAGTCCCAAAAAACAAGCATTTGAACAAATTTTTTAGAAAACACAAAATTCGTTTCTTCTCTCAAAAATTCTACTTTATATGAATTTATTCTTATCCAACTCTGGCAACTATGCTCTCCAACATAATCTATTGAATTGTACCGTAAATGTTTTCTTCCAGTCGCAACCAAACAAATATTCCAATCGGTATACCCGGCAAAAATAACGCAACAACAACAACACGACCACAACAAAATTTCACGACAAACAACCAACATGTTGGACTGGCTGGAAAAACAAACAAGGGTGGTGGTTCGATGTTGCGTGGGGTTATGTTGTCAATCTTCAAAATATACTCTTGCTGTCGGGTTGCAATGCAACAAAACAAAAGCGTAAATTAGAAACGAACAACAAACAGAGGAAAACATCAGCAATGCAAGGGAATTCAATCAAACACGGCCGGCGAAATATAAACATACTTTTGTCAGAATTTCATAATAACAACAATAACGAAATTTCAATTGCATAGAAATGCATTTCGGGAGAAATTTTGACGTGATCAAACGGTGTCAGTGGAGATTAATTTATATGTAGTAAATCTTAAAAAAAAAAAAAAAAAAACAAGTAAAAAGTATCAGTCGGTGTTGCCTACAGATGTATGCCCTCAACCAATGTTCGATTATTTAAATATATTTTGATTTTTAAAATTGTTGACCCTCTATTGAGCAGGTTCCGAAGGAATGGGCCAATATTGTCCATTTCATATCGGACCTAAACAAATATGATATAAAAATTGCAACGTACCAGATTAGGACTACATTGGTTACTACCTTCACTTTATATGTGATAATTTTTCGAAAATGTTAAAATGTGCGTGAGGTATCAAATATAGTCGACCGAAGTATTCCATTTTCATACTCCACCTAATCCAGATAAAAATATTGGTGTGGGAAAAATTACAAGAAAATCGAACATTTATATCCATTTTTATGCGAAATCATAAAGTCCATATTCATCTCAGGTATCTGGTTGATAGATATGTATATAGATATAACAAGCTGTAAAGAATCACTGACTTGTTTCGCAAGTTATGACAAAAAAAAGTTGAAAATTGTGACCCTTTGTGGGTAAGGTACCAGAAGGGGTTCGCAAATATATATCATCTTCACAACAGATCGTGTGTCCGATCTCTGCCATCTTTATAAAAGATTTTGTGTTGATGGAAATATTAAGATGTTCCAAGCCATAATGGAATCGGATGTTAATTTCGCATTTCAGGAACTCATGGATATTCAAAATTTTGACCATTTGTCGGGTAGGTAGCAGAAGGAATGGTTCGATTACTACCATTTTTATAAAAGATCTTGCGTTGGTGCAAATATATTGAGATATGCTAAGCC